TTTTAGGGTAAGGATTTTAGAAAAAAGTATCGTCTTATAGTCGGAAAAATACGGTACTTCAACTTGTGACCAACTCGACTTGCAATCAGAGTCACGGAACAGATTAAGTTCATAAGTAGTACCACTGTACTAGTGTTTCCTTTTCTTTGATCATCTCATGCTACAAATATTTCTCAGTCTGTCTTCATAGTTTGCCTTAATTCTCTATATTTGGTTTATTGTAGTTAATTTGTAATCTATTTTTAAATTCAAAACAATTTTGAAAGGCTGGAATTTAAAGAGAGAAGATGCATTTGGGAAACAAATCTGTATTTATTTGGGGAATAGCTAATGCAGCTGTTCTTAACACAAACATTTAGTTGATAAAATTGGGTCAAAACACTCTTGATAGTCATCTGTTGAATGTTGCTAGTTAATAATCAGATTTCACAGTCAATGTATGTTGGATTTGGAGTAAAATGGGAGATTGTGTCTCAAGGAATTTACAGGGTTTAGGACTTGCACAAGAATGCAAACATTAATTTTCCTACATATTTTAATTTTGTAGTTGGAGTTCTTGTCGAAGATCAGCCAGATGTGAGTGCAGTGCTATCTGCTTATAATCAACAGGGAGATCCAGCACTTTATGAAGAATACTACAGTGGATTGAAACACTTTATTGAATGTGCTCTAGATTGTCATAGAGCTGAATTATCACAACTTTTTTATCCTCTGTTTGTACACATGTATTTGGAACTAGTCTACAATGGACATGAAAATGAAGCAAAATCCTTCTTTGAAAAGTAATAATTTTGTTTATTTAATATCCATAAGCATGTTTCACTAATAGGCATATAAACCTACAATTGTAATTACCGTAAACAGGCATGGTTTGAAGCATGGTGAACTGGGAACAAAAATCTATAGCATTTGCTTTGAGATACATCTAGAGTAGAAAAAAAATACATTTGAAACATTTTGAAAAGGTAGAAATTTTACTAATTATCCCTCTTGGGAGAGAAAGGTTAATAGATATTCCTTCAAAAGTGGATGATTGGGTTTAGTAAATGGATACAATTTCTTTAGAAAACTTTGACTTCCTGTTTGGCCACTCCCAGAGGGTTAGATTAGGCAATTATATCTCCTCTTACTCTCATCACTGGTTCACCACAGGGCTGCGTGTTGAGTCCCTTACTTTACACTCTTTATACGTATGACTGTACCCCCACTCACTTCAGCAATATT